AAGAAACTTTTTTTCCCCCTAATAAGGTAATCTTTTGGGATGGGTTCTTTTTTTAGGTTTATACTCATCACATTGATACTTTCATTAAAAGTTGACCAACCAGAGAGAGCTACTTGTGGAGGGTTCTGATTGGTAAGAAGATCAAGTTAAATGTCGCAGAATGAAGCCGCTGGGGATGTTAGCTCTCAAGGAAAGTGCTCTGTTATGAGTCCCGCATTGAGAAATTTCATAAGTGTTGTGGAGTTTATAAATTCAAATGGCCCTCCTTTTTAATAGATTAGTCTTTTAGAATAGGCTATCTCCCTTGAGCTTATGCTTATCACATATGTATTTCATAAATCACAATTTAAAAGTTACTTTTAAAGGTTCTTATCATTTCCAAACAAACCCATTAATTGTTACAAATTGAAACTCGGACTACTTGATTAAAAGGATGAAAGCTCCCAAATATTGATGCCAACCTATCTTGGTTTGCTTTAATATTGTTATCTTATAATTTGGACTTTAGGAAACACACATCTATACATCATTTTTATATTTATTAAGATAAATCAAATTTTGTAACTTTGAAAACCAAAACTAAGCTATATTGAAAAGTTGTAATGAATTCTTTACGTATTAATTACAAACAATCATTTTAATTTTTTTTTACTCTTATGAATTAATTAAAATGACTTTATCCTCCTTTTATCTATAATATAGTAAGTTACATTTTAGGAGAATTTTATATTCTTAATTTCACTTTACAAGAGTCGGTGTAGCATTAAGTTCTCTATTTTAATTATGTCCTCTCCAAGTTCCATTGAGAGTTATATATTTTTTAAATTTATGGTAACATGAAAGTAAGAATAATTTTCAGACAAACTTATCATTGCAACTAACTTTTTATTAGTTGAATGACTTATTATAAATGACTTATATTATGAATAAGAAGAAGTGCTTTGCGTGATTAAAAATATAAAATTCAAATAATCATTTTATGCTTATATAAAGCATATACTTTTTTAAATATGTCCTTATTTATAAAAGAATAAGTGAGGGAGATTGTGAGCGGGAAAATAGAATATCCAAGGAAAAAATAATGAGTGTAGAAAAAAAATTAGAAAAAAAAAGCTCATTAAATAATCAGACAAATCAAACTATGAAATTTAAAACTTATATTATTTATTCTAAATTTTATGCTGTGAACGATGAAAAAGCTCATTTTAAACTTTACTATCCTACACCGACCATCATCACCAACATGATCATAAGTGAAAAGGGAGAAAAAGGAAAGAAATGATTTCCCAGAATCCAAAGTAGAATGTTGAAATGCATTCCTCTGTTACTCAAGACACTCCACGTCTGTCCATATTGGATGAAGCATCTAAGCACACAACAAGACAATATAGGATTCATGATGTTGCTCATCAACTTATGGGGTTGTCTCATAATTAATTCCGCCCAAATTCTTTAATTGTTATCAGCAATTTAATTATATGATCAGGCGAGAAATTTGAGAATGATTAGTAATAATATAATTATTATATTATTTAATCATTGACCATATTATGCACAAATCTTCATGCACCAACCCATTAGCTTGGGGTTGCCATTATGCATAAAATTAAAATATACCAACCTGAGTGTTCACATGCATTTACCCTCTGGCATTGTTCTTCAATTTTTTTGTTTTTGTTTTTTGTTTAGTGTATATCCTTGTAGGAATAAATTAGTGGAATGTATGTCTTGAGTTTATTTTCATCATCATGTACTATTTTATTATTATTATTTATTTTCAATAATTTTAAAAAAATCAATGCAGGTTTATGTAATAAAGATTATATGTAATCAACGCTAAATTGTCTTAGTAGTAATGTCACGTGTCACTTTTAGATATTTACCTCTAAATTGATCCTGATATTGATATGTTTATGCATTTGAGTGTGTTTAATTTGATAAAATTAAGAAAAAAATGTAAGATTATAAGCAACAACTTCATGCACTGAAATAAAGTTTTCAACTAATTATGAAAACAAATACCGTAGGTGCTTCTCAAAATCATTACTACCTATATATACAATTTAAAATTTTTAAGTTGGTATCTAACTATTGCGAATGTATTCTTAATTCCGAGATAATAACAAATTGACGATGTTTTTTTATAATATCAATAATGTTAAATTGTAATTTTAAGGAAGAGAAATGATAATTTTGAAAACACCTATAGTATTTTAATTTTATGTTATATGAACAAATTTTAATTTTTTTTCATAAAATTACTTGTTAACATGCGAACTATTCTAAACATGGGCGTTAATAGTTGCCTTAGACAAGGGATGGTTTCTCAACTTTTTTTTTTATTTTTTCAAACCACCATTAGTCCATCACCATAAGTCGCATGATCATAAATTTCCTTGTCAATTATATTTCTTACAATCTTAGATGTAAAAATTAGCAAAAGAGTTATTTTAATCTTAAATACTACATTTTATTTTGCTAACTTCTTACAATCACCTGTAGTATAAGACTTCATTTTATTTTATTTTTTAAATTTGTAATTTTTTTTAAACCCTTCTTTATCAGACGTGTATATTAAGGGAATTTTTTTTTTGCGTGAAGAAAATAGTTTCCATTACAAATAATCAAAAGGAACATTATAGGAAAACTAATTCATATTTTTTTTTCACAAATAATCTTACTGATATTTTTTTTGGGTAGAATCTCACTAATATTTTTAATCTTCATGAATTAATCATCTAATTTTTATAGTTATACTCCTTCGGTCCTTAATATAAGACCAATTTAACTAATTTGATTAGATTAAGGATGTTAGGTAAGTTAGTTAATTATAAGAAAAGTGACATATTTTTCCTAAAACACCATAATCATTTTTCTTAATACTCCCTCTCCCTCTTCTACTTGATTATGGTTGAGGGAGTATCCATAGGTAATTTAAAGAAAACCGATAAATATGAGAAATGAGTATTATATTTAGGACTAAAATCAATTCAAGAATTGGGTCCTATATTAAGGACCAAAGGAGGATCAGTTTAGATAGGGAGCATATATTTACCATTGCTAGTTATGTGAAGTTTTCTAAGCAAAAAAAGAGGATAATTGGTATTGGATTTATCTACATCCTTAGCATGATCTCTAACTTTATTTAATTTTGGATATGAGCGTGGTCACTAACTTTTAGTGAACCATCTCCATCCCTAATGTCAACTTTCTTTAAACTTTGATAATCCAAAGACGAAAACAAATAGTCTTTTCTTTTCTTTTTCTGTCCTTTATTTTTTTCCTTCCTTATTTTTCCTTTTATGCGGGAGAAAAATAATAGTGCATTATGTGAAGTTTCTTTCAATTGAGAAATGCATGTGTGAAAATGACATATAACTAAAATCCATATTAATTGATTGCGCGATGAATTATTTTAAGGACCACATTCACCTAGAAAAAATATATACATTTATTTATTTGTGGCGTAATGAATGGATGGTGGACCAATCAAACTAATTTAGCATTGAAAATAAAATAAAATAAAATAAAATGTATGGGCCTTGCAGTCCTTTTGAAAATTTGTCCAGTATAGTGGTTAAATTTAAAATGATTTGCCATTAAATAATTATACAATGATTTTGCTTTTTGTTGTTGTTGTTGTGATATTTGTATCATTAGTTTTTCGAATATAAATGGGTATTTGAATGGAAATCAAATCATAATTTTAAAAATAATTTTACAGTATAAGAAATAAAATATGTGATAGAAGTTTTGCCTCAACTTATATAAAAATACTTGTATTTTTAGATACGTCTAAACACTTCCTAAATATAATAAAGAGTCTGAACAATGTAAATGGAAAAGATCCCTTCAAGATAAGTACTCTTTGATTTTAGATATAAGAATTAATATAAATATTTGATTTGGTTTAAAATATAAGATTATAGCTCACTTTTTTTTTTTAAACTCTCGCTGTTAATTGCCCACAAATTAAAGAACTTTTCATTTCTAACAAGAAAAACTAATGGATATAAAGAACTTGAGTAAGTATTGTCATTTTAGAAAAACATATTTTCTTTGTTGTGAATAACTAATTTATTCAATTTTTAATTTAGTTTGATGTGATTTTTTGGATATCATATAATTAAAAAAAAAAGTACATGAGGTAAATGATCTAGTTTGTTTTAGACTAACTTGGATTTGTCTTGTATGAAAAAATTGCTTCAGTTGGTCCCATTTGTTGAAAGAATGAATTCCAACATAACGTTAAGTCTGTCTATTTCACTAGGTAACGTTCTTTTTTTTTTTTTTTTTGCTTTTCTGAAATTCACTTAATTCGTGGAAAATTAATTTAGAATAAAATGATGTGTAAACTTAAGTATTTTGTAAAACTATGCATGATGTATGCTTTTCACTTATACAATTTTTTTGAAAGCAAGAAAAAAGTCAGGCTGGTAAAATTATTTTATTTATATTTAAGTTTAAACTAGCTATATTAGCTATATTTAATAAAGCTCAACCAGAGCCATTAGAGATTTGTCTGGTGGCAAATGATGAAGAAAATCTTATAAAGAAAAAGAGATTTGTCTGGTTAACTAGGGAGAAAAAACTGAAAAGGTTAGTGAGAAAAAAAGAAAATTATAAATAAATTTAGAAATATCTAAACTAGCAACTTTTCCAAAGCTCATTGATACCTTTTATAAAAATTGATAAGAAGATTTAGAAAATTCAACAATAATTTTGATGTCTGAACATAATTGTATTATCTATTTATAATATTTCTAGTTTTTAATTAATTTTCTAAAATAATTTTTTGGCCAAAAAGTCTCCCTCCCTTTCCCCCTCTCCCTCTTCTTCTTCTTCTTCACCGGCGTCAACCGTCATTACATTTTATTCTGTAATTCTACTAAAATAAAATTAAAAAGAAGTAGAAAAAGCAAATAATAATTATTATTATAATATAGTCGCCACCATTAAAATAAAACTGCAGTCCACAACATTCAGAGCAAGAAGTCCAACTGCTCCTCCGACCCTCTTTCCCACTCTTCTTTCGTTGTTCATGCTATTAAATATTAAATCCTTTTTTTAATTCCCCGCTGATTTTCTTCCTTGCAATTACCCAACATCGTTTTCCGATGACCTCCGGCGGTAGCTGCTTCTGGTCGGAGAAGTGATACCTCCGGCATGTCTGACAACGACCTTGTCTTCCAGACTTTCCGAGCTCTGGTGGAGAGCGCTGACCGCAAGTTCGCTAGGGTCCGCGACGTGCCAGCCTATGGGCGTGTTAGCCAGAACCATTTCTATCAGAAGGTTTTCAGAGCATATACTCGACTTTGGAAGTACCAGCAGGAGAACCGGTCCAAGCTGGTTCAGTGCGGTCTAAAACGCTGGGAAATCGGCGAGATCGCCAGCCGAATCGGGCAGCTTTACTTCGGGCAGTATATGAGGAGTAGTGAGTGCAGGTACTTGGTTGAAGCATATGTGTTCTATGAAGCGATACTCAACAGAAGGTATTTTGAAGGATCCGAAGGTTCGCCGAAAGATCCGGGAATCAGGTTCAAGGAATTGAGGTTTTATGCACGGTTTTTGTTGGTGTCGGTGATTTTGAACAGAACGGAGATGGTGAAGCATCTTATGGACCGTTTCATGGCTTTGCTTGACGATTGTAAGAGCAGCACCCGGGTAAACAAGATTTCTTTTTTTCTCCCCCTGATTTCAGCTAAACCGCTATAACGCTTTGAGTAGTGAATTGCTCGGAAAATGTTTTCTTCGGCTGTACACTTGTTAGTTGTTACCCTTTTCCTTTCATAGGTTCCTACCTTTAAGGTTGACATGCTGTTTTAATTATTATGAAGCTGCTGTGTGTTTATCAACCACTTCCCGGTTATCCTATCAGAAATGATCAGTAGACAAGTTTCTTTTGAGAGGAACGATGAAAATAACATCTCCTATTGTTTGATGCATTGGGCTATGTAACTGTAGCTCAATTGCATATAAAATTCCTAATTTCCCCCTATAATTAGCACAGGAACTCTTGTAAGTCTTATTTTGATCTGGATATGTTTTCGGTTAACATCTGAATCTACTCGAGGCTGTACATGGATGGAATTTGATAGAGCAGATCGGGTTTATAAAGAGTCACTTCTGGGAGTGACCAAATCGATAAGATTCCAGAGATTGCGTCATGTTGTTGGGCATGATATTCCTTAATCTTCACTTTTAAGTTTTGTGAATGGGGAAAAAGTTGCCACTGGAAGAACTTTACACTTATAGATTTAGCATGGCAGTCGGGACGAATGCTATTCACAAAAAGGAAAGAAGGGAAAAAAAGAAGAAGAAAAGATTAAATAATGGGTGATGATTTTTTAAGCTAAGTGCTTAATTACTGCATCTAAAAAATATCCGTGATTCTTTATGACGTGTCTGATTATTTTCATTGGTATATCTTCAACTTCTTTCTTAATTAATAGTGGTGTTCTAAGCTTGATCAAGGTTGTTGAACCTACTCAATTTTACTTTACTAAAGAAAACCAAATGGTGTTACTTCGAAGTAGTCCTTGGTTCTAGACCTGATGCAATTTCCCTTTTTTTGGGTGGGGGGTTGACATGATGTAATGCTTGAAATATCAGATTTGAATAGAAACTTCTGTATTATATACTTGTAGTGGGGGATATTACCAAGCTTTCCAAAGGGAAAGTGGCAGTCTATAAAAACAAGTTTTTCGTATTATACTGATAACCAGTAGAGTGTTTTAACTGTCTAGATTTGTGCAACTGTAAGATGAACTTCAAATATTGGTCTGAAATTTTAGTCATCCTTTGAATGCTCTGCTGGTATTTCTTATTTCCAAACCTATCGCATGCCATAATTGACATGCTTCATCATTGATTTTTCCAATTCAAACTCGATAGTTTTTTCTATCTGCCCATACACGCTTCATTATTAGTATTAAAATCGAAATTTTCTGGATTCATATAAAACATTCAGAATACTTACATATAAACCAGTTTTTCTCATTATACCGTTAACCAATAGAATGTAAGTTATGCATTGCATCTGTAATTTGATGAATGTGATCTACTATTTCTCAGGAAACTAACTTAAAGGAATGGAGGCAAGTGGTGCAAGAAATTGTCCGCTTTACAAAAGCAGAGAATGGCTTTGCTATCAGGCCTTTGCGTTATTGTGTCATAACTGATACTCATCAGGCTTCTCTTCCATATGTAGCTCGTTTTCATGCTAAGAGGGTTCTAAAATTTCGAGATGCCCTGTTGACAAGCTACCATCGGAATGAGGTTAGTCAATACTACTTCATGTCAACCTTGTGGTTCTCAAATGTGAGTAGCATACCTATAATTGCTGGAGCATTATATATTCTCTTTTTCAGGTCAAATTTGCTGAGCTTACATTAGACACCTACAGAATGATGCAATGTTTAGAATGGGAGCCTAGTGGACCCTCCTACCAAAAACCTATTGTTAAACCGATTGAGAATGGGGACTCCATTGATCATTCAGGAACTTCTGGGTTGATAAATATGAACCTAGCCGCAGATATGACAGATCCGAATGTGCCTCCTAATCCCAGAAAGGCTGTTCTTTATCGTCCATCTGTAACACATCTGATAGCGGTGAGTTTTCAATCCTGTTACAGAGCCACTGTAATAATGCTATTCAGTTTCCCGGGGCCAAGCAAACAGCATTTTTGCTTCCTGCTGGGGAAGAGTTTTCATCACATACTTATTTCCCCTCAACTTGATATTTGGATTTGCCTATTCTTTATTCTCTGCTTTTAGTGTATTAAATTGATTTAGTGTACATTTTTATCTCGTAAGTTCGTTTTATTTCCTCAATGCTGGAGTGCCTAAACTAATAATCACTTTTTCACTAATTAAAATGAAGTCAATTATGTCTTGCTGATGTATAATCTTTCAATGGCGTTGGATATGTAATTAGTCTGATGTTGAGCTTCATGATGCTACACAGGTTATGGCAGCAATTTGTGAGGAACTGCCGCCAGATAGTGTTGTGCTTGTATATCTATCAGCCTCAGGTATTTGATTTTTTTTAGTGTAAAAAATCATTCTATTGGTCTTGTCATGTTAGGTTATTTACCATGGTTATTGCTTATACAGGGAAGGCTGGTTATAATAATATCCATCAATTGGAGAATTCTGGAGGGTCATCAAAACATTCGAGGCACAAGGTCCTTTCTCAGACTTCCCAAGAGCAGAGCAGTGGACCTTCTGACTCTCAGATCAATGGCAAGAGAGAATCCAACTCCTACTACGAGAACTATCTGTGGTTTGGTCCCAAGGGCATTGATGGTGGGTATTTGCAGTGGGTCTCTTCACTATGTTCCTGTTGAGAGCATGTGTTCCCAGTCGTGTTACAAGATTTAATTTTAGTAGTCTTGATTTATGTTACAGAAGAAACATGCACGTTTTTCATCTTCACTCACTTCTGTTTTTTTCTTGGAATAGCAGGTTCAAACAATCTTTACCCTGGCGATCTTATTCCTTTCACCCGCAAACCTCTTTTCTTCATTATTGATAGTGATAACAGCCATGCATTCAAGGCAGGTTTGTCAAAACTTGTGCAAGGCTTGCCGGGGGAATTTGTTGGGTTGAGCTATTCTCTATATTTCTTGAATCTAATTTTAATTTTTAAAAGGAAAAATTACCCACAGGTTCCAGTTCAAATAAATTAAATATACAGAGAGGTCCCAGGAAATTCAATTTTTTTACAAGTTTGACTTGTAAATATGGAAGTTCGACTTGTAAACATAAATTGTCAAATTTAACTTGTAAATGTGCAAGTATGACATGTAAATATGATTTTTTTTTTTTGGGGATTTTCTGCATTTAGTTTTCTTACCGGGACCTATGAGTAATTTTCCCCTCTCCAACAGACAATAAAATTTGTATTTTTTTTTTCCTGCCTATGATCAGGTTTTGTCTTAGCATTTCAAAGGAAAAATGCCATGTTGATTTGCATAGATTTTTCTCTCAGTAGAGTTAGAGGAGCGAAATAGACAGATACTTGAGTTAAATGTTTTAGTGTAAATTCCTGGCTAAGTTTAGTGTAAATTCCTGGCTAAGTTACAACTGCTAGAATGTCAAAGCAGCATCTTTGTGGATTAGGGATGAGGAATGCTTTTGACGCTATCTTGATGGAGCTAGTACATCTTGAACATTGAATTAGACTATTTTGTGTGTCTTGAGTCCTGATGTATTGTTGGGGTGTGGGTGTGCATGCATGGGCATCTCGAGACCTGATGTATTGTTGGTCCTTTGTGTATTTCTGTAGGAGAATCCTTTACAGAGTTATCCTGATAGACATAATTGATTGCAGGTTTTACGTGGTGCAGAAAGGGGGGAGACAGCTGCTCTTTTTCTTTCACCTTTATTGCCAGTTTTCAAGAATCCATCTGATGTGCATTTGCATAACGGAAGCCAGTTTACGTTCTTCTTGACTGCTCCTCTGTCAGCATTTTGCCAGATGGTTGGCCTGTCCCCGAGTGAGGTTGACAAGGTTGGTTGATCTGAGTAGTCCTTGATGTCTCTTAGCGCACCTTGATTCTTGGCATACTCATTGTTGTGTTTAACATTAGGATGTCTATAATCAAGCGGAGACCATTCTTGCTAATGCCTTTGCTGAGTGGGAAATAATTCTATGCTCATCAACCACTAACTTGGATTTAGTATGGGCTCAAATGATAACCGATCCATTTTTGCGGCGGCTCATTTTAAGGTATCTTGGTTTTAGCTTCTGGTGGATCAGTGGGTTTTTTTTTAAAAAAAAAAAAAATAATTTGAATTTTTGCAAAACTTCAATTTTGACTATTTTATGTGCGGGTGAACCAACTTCTGTGTGATGTGTATTATCTACAGATTCATCTTCTGCCGGTCAGCAATCTCTTTTTACTGCCCACCTGAAGAAAGTGAGCAGTGTATGCCGCTCTGCTTGCCTCACCTGCCCACATCTGTTGCACCGGCTTCTGGAGCCGTTCGTACTGCCGTTGTTCAGATTGCTACGCACTTCGTAGTGGCTGACTCCTTTCACTTTAGTGATACCTAATATTAGAAAGAAGTTAAAAAAATTCATGCTTTGGGCAGGGGAGCCGAGGATTCTCAGCTTGACAGGGAAAGTTGACAAAAATACCGGTGGACTTTTATAGTCATCATCACAGGAAGTCCTTGGTGGGGCTTTGGCTGGCACTAGATGGACCAAATTTGTTGGTTATAGGTGCCTCTGCTTGGTCTATTGCCATGATTCAAGTTCGATTCCTCTGATCCATTGGTCTATGCTGTATTTGTTGGTTGTTTATACTTTTGTTCTTATAGTTGGTCTCGGGTCAGTGCCTGATGAGTATTTTTTGGTGTTTGGGCGTGGCAAGCTAATATTTAGTTTCAAATTATATGTATCTGTTCATATCAATGTAAAAGAGGAGTCAGGAAAGTTTTATTTCCCCCCCTTTTCGAGCAGAATCGGACGGCACAGAAATAACATTGAAGAAAGAAGGAAATGCAGTGATGAATTTCAAGGTGGCATTGGATGGTAAAAGATGCCTCTGATGATGTAAATTGTTGTCAGAATATTTTGACTATTTATTTTCGTTTAAAAAATGCAATATAAAGTGGCAAAATTTCTAGACATAGATCCGAGTTTCGTTTGTATGGAGTCCAAGAAATAAATATGAATAGTATAATTTCATCTAAATTTCGCATATACATATTGATTAATGATATTGATGAAGATTTATATTGAGGTTGAACTGGGTCGTTGTTAATTAAATTGCTTCTTCTTTACAGTTAAGGTTAAGATGCAAGTATTTTCTCGGGTTCATTAAGTATTTTTGGCGCTTTGATACTGGATGTACTAGATAATATTTCTGGGTGTTAGACGCACTTAAAAAATATTTTAAGTTATTAGATGTATTAAAAAATATTTTAAGGTGTTGGCGTATTTAAAAAATATTTTAATTAAATACTTTAAAATACTGAATGTATGATAAAATATTTTAAAGTATTGAATTTATCCTAATTCTTTGATAATCTCGGTATAATGGGAAGTGAGGAATTTCTTGCAGCCTGTACTTTCACTTTATGGTGCACAATTAGGCAGTGATATGGCACTTCTTTGTTTGGAATTACTTTTAAAAAGTACTAATAAGCACACTTATCTAAGTAAAATAAAACCATTGTCGTATGCTTATATGATATTTTCAAAATTATAATTGAAAAACTACTTCTGCTATTCCACCAAACAGGCTCTTGAATGGCAAACATTCGCCTTTTTGTTTTTGCTATTAGCTTTTAGATGAACTGGGTTAACCAATGCTCCTAAATCCTAATGTCAGAACCAATTTACATGCATTCAATGCACTTTTCCTGTTTTGGGCTTATGGGCGTCGTGTATGAGCCAGCCCAATGAAAAACAGAAGAAGGAAAATAAGAAAAGGAAAAACGCAATACGATGTTGGAGGCGTATGCTGGAAAAAATTCCTGACGTGCTGGCCTTTTAGAAGCGCCCACTGTAAGTTACGCTAATTAAAAAGTCAATGCAGCGTTATTTCATACCACCCCTCGCTTGTTTTACGGAGCAAGGCGGGATTATTATAATCATATTTTTACCAATTCTAACGGTGACGAGGGAAGCAACCAATGGGGAGCGAGCAATGATAAATCACGATCCGTGTCTTATCTCTGTAATGAAATCGCGGCCGTTTATCTAGCTCCAGAAAACACAGCGAAGCACTGTAGCGACCGTCCGATTCTTGCGAAAGGAAACACACGGATACTGATTTCTACCCGTCCGATCATTCCGTGTCCCCTTTATCACACGCTATTTATAGCTCATCGGTTGCAGCCCGTTGGAAACTTTTGATTCTTCTCACGCAGGTTCAGCGAGGGACGCAGGAAGGAAGAGACAAGGAAGACGCTTGTTGCACGAGGTGAGATTATTTCTGCAGTTGAGGAATTTAGGGTTTAAGGTTGCCGTTGTTTGGCAACAATTTTAGGAGTTTCCTTTTCCTTGCAATCTACTATTAAGTAGCTCGATTCTTGGATTACGTTGAAGAGATCCGCGCGCGGATGTTGAGTAGATTAGAGCATTTAGTTGAACGGTGGAATTTTCTTCGCTCAATCGCTTTTCTTTTCATATCTTACTAGTGTGCGTGCCTTAGAATTATGCACGTTTCTTGTCTTTAGGTCATCTGCACTGAATGAACTTAATCTTTATATATATGTATATACGTATTTAATTCTTCTTCTGGCTCAAGGGAGAAATAGCATTAATCAAGGTTCAAGTTTTGACGAGATCCGTCTTACCAATTTGTAATATGTGATTCTGTGGGCGTGTTTGTGTTTGACGTGGACTTACGGTTGCTTTTGTCTATTCCTTCTTGCGATTTTGCCCCGTTCCTTTTCGTTTTTCTTCTCATAGGGTTTAAAATCATGTGATGCATGATTTATTTGGGGTTTCTGCTTCTGTAGTCTCCCTTGTGGTTGGCTTCTCTTGCATTATTCGTATTGACTCCCCCCCCCCCCCGGGTAGCTGGAATCTTGAATATTTATGGATAATTTCGGTTTGAATTTAATTTAGTTTCATAACTTGTTGATCGTATTTCTTCCAGATGGCTCGTACTAAGCAAACTGCTCGTAAGTCTACTGGTGGAAAGGCCCCCAGGAAGCAACTTGCCACCAAGGTTTGTTTACATCAGTATTATTATCTAGAAAATTTCCGATAGTTTTACATGTTGTATTACAGTCTTCTTATCCAATGTATTCATCATGGTTTTAGGCTGCTCGTAAGTCTGCACCAACCACTGGTGGTGTCAAGAAGCCCCATCGTTATCGCCCTGGAACAGTTGCTCTTCGGTGGGTGAAGGGAATTTTTTTGGGGTTATGTCGTTTTATTTTAAGTTTGGTATTTTCCAGGGCTGATAATCGTGCTTTTTGTGATGACAGTGAGATTAGGAAATACCAGAAGAGCACTGAGCTTTTGATTAGGAAACTCCCCTTTCAGAGGCTTGTGCGTGAAATTGCTCAAGACTTTAAGGTATGGTGGTTATTTTTTGTTATTGTTCTTTAAATATTCGGCGTCCAGTGAAGATATTGATCGTATTTGGTTGTGGTGGCAGACTGACCTTCGTTTCCAGAGCCATGCTGTGCTTGCATTGCAAGAAGCAGCTGAGGCATACCTGGTTGGGCTATTTGAGGACACTAACCTCTGTGCCATTCATGCCAAACGGGTCACAATCATGCCTAAGGATATTCAGCTGGCTAGAAGGATCCGTGGGGAGCGTGCTTGAGTTGTTGTGCTAGTTGTGAAGATAGGATGGCTGCTAAGTGTTTATTCGTCTGTTATATTTGATTGAAACAAATTTTAGCTGTGCCTTACTGCCTTTTGAAGGCATTCACTGTTGGGTTAGATGATTTGTGATAGGCAGATATTGTATTAAAGATACAATGGTTAAAGGGATCGTGTTTTGCTTAATGTTAGAACTCGGTAGATGTGTTAAAATTGGACTTTCTGGTTCTTATGTGTGCGGCCACGCTAAATTGTATTTGGTTAACATTTTGTTGCCATCTAATCTTAGTGTAGCTTGTTCCAAACCCACTCTCCAGCAATAGTTCTATTCTGTACACTATGAATTTATTCTGTTGCGCACCTAAAATGGCTGAGAATAAACTACGAATTGTCGTTATTTGTATTATTCGTGGATGAGCGTTTTATAATGTAGCGACAACCCTCTTAGGAGTAATGTGGCCGATGTATCTTATCGTCTGTTCGATCAGGTGTATCGAATTATAGGAAACCAAACCTAGAATTAATTAGCTGGCAGCTAAGGGCTTAGCGCTCGTTTGAGTTGCCGTTATTTGTGTTGCGAGGTTTTGGGTGCGAAATCGATTTGGCATCTTAATTTTTACTTCCGTTTCTTTCGCTCAAATGTGACGACGGATTTGCTGCCTGTGAGATTTAAATTGAGGAAGCCAGATTAATCATTAATCATTTAATTATGACATATCAATCATTTAAAATTAAATAAATGTGACATGATTTTTTAAAATATTTCTTTATAACATCAATACTTTTGAATAGTATTGTATTATATATCAGTTTGTAAGTTAAATAAATTAGTTAGGAATAAGCTAAAATGAATTTGAAAAAATAATTGATGAAAAAATAAATTGGGGTTTTATATTTATAATTAGATAATTTTCCAACAAGCTGTTAAAACTAAAAAAATGGATTTGACTTGTTAAAAGAATTTGGTATATTTTTTATGTGAAAAAGACTAAAATGCCTTTGTAAATTAAAAACAAGCCCTAAGCAGCAAATAACACGGCTAATCGAAAGTTCGAAACCAGAAGAGCAAAAATAATCAAAACCACTGTAATCCTCCAGGAAATCAATGGTCCTTAGTGTCGCTTTATTGCGGAGTAATTTTATCCGAAGAGCCAACAATTCAGTCCAGATAATTTAAAAAAGTGTTTGGCAACTCTTAAAGTGTTTTTAAAAAGTATTTTTTTATATAAAATGAGATAAATTTTTTTATATATTTATTTTATAAATCATAAAAATATTTTTAAAATCAAGATTTAGTTTCTATCCAAATAATGGGCAAATAAAATACAACGAAACCAGATCTAAAAGCCCAAAAAGCATGTGGCCAAGGAGGACTTTGTCAAAGACCAAAACAGGAAGATGCATTTCAGGCACGTTGGCTTATAGACTAATTTAAATAAATTAAAAAAATTTATTAAGTTAATTATTTAGAATAAATAGATATTTTTTTTCTAAAATATTATTAATAATCATTTGTATGAGTTAGAATTATTATTAGATAAAACCTTAAACATTTGTAATTATTATAAGGACTACTTTGAGAAAAAATAGATAAATATGAAAAATAAATTAGATTAGAGTCTTATATTTAAAATTGGATTATATTTTAAATTACCTTTTATATTAAATACCAAAGATGATATTTAAGATTAAATTAAATGTTAAACTAACTTCTATATTAAGTAGTTATACATAGTATTTTGCATGAATTTCCAGATAGCGTGGTCTTTTGCTGGCATTGCAATTTGAATGGCAAATACTACCTTCGGTCCTAATTATAAGACTCGGTTGACTAATTTGAAGAGATTAAGAAACTTAGTTAAGTTAGTTATTTGTAATGAATATGTTATTTTTTCTAAAATATCTTTGCTAATCAAGTTTCTTATCTACAACTACCATTATTAGAAAGACTATCTTAGAAAAAGTAGATAAATATGAAAGACAAAGTGGATTGAGGTCTTATATTTAGGACCAAAATAAAAGTCAAATAGGATTTTATATTAAGGACCGGTACAAGCTTCGCGCATTTATTCGGGCAATAACCATAATTGTTAACCGAAAAAAAAAAAAGCACTGTACAGTATATACTCAGAGGAATACACTATAAAACCCTTTTATTAGCGGCCTCATTGATTGGTGCCTCCGATAAACCAAATGATCCCTATAATTAATACCAACATGATTATGAATATAACAAAAATTAATCATCATAAAATTGTTACAAACATTTTATACATCATAAAATCATTGTAATTGTTATTGCTATTTACTGCTATCTTCTGTCTTTAATATAAAACCTGTTTGATTTTTATTTTGGTCATAAATATAGAATCTCAATCTATTTTGTTTATCATATTCATGCATTTTTTTAAAGTAGTCCTTTTAATAATAATAATTCTAGCCAATACATTTGATTAGCAAGGATATTTTAGGAAAGACAACACCTATTTATTACAAATAACTAACTTAACTTATTTCCTTAATCTTTTTAAATTAGTCAACTAACTTTTATAATTAGGACCGGAGATAGTATCACATAGGGGTGTTCAATTTGTCCCGTCTCGGTCGTCCCGTCCCGGTTCCGGTGAGTTCGGGACGGGACGGGACGGGACAAAAAAAAATTCGGGACGGGACAAGTACGGGACGGGACGGGACGGGAGTGACCAGGACGGGACGAGACGCGGGACGGGGTTGTCCCGTCCCGTCCCGGGATATTTTTTTTTAAAAAATTATTTATTAATAATTATTATTAGATTATTCAATTTACTTATTAATAATAATAATTATTATTATAGTGATTTTTAACTCTTAAGTTGTAATATTATCTGAACAATATCTCCTTCCTCAATAAAATAATTCATAAAGCCATTATATAGTGTTTTTTTAATCGTATTTTTTTTACAGTATTGTTTTTACACCTTTTTTATACTATATAATTGAGTTTTCTACCTAATATTTTTTATAATGTTTTTATCTTTAAAAGCCTAACAAAAAATAAGCATTATAACATAAAAAAATTTCATATAAAAAATTATAGTATTTTTTAAAAAAAAAAAAGAAGAGGGAACGGGACGTCCCGTCCCGTCCCGGTCCCGACGGGACCGGGACAAAACCAGGACGGGACGGGACACGGGACTAAAACCCTGTCCCGTCCCGTTCACCGGGACGGGCCTGTCCCGGTCCCGTCCCGTCCCGTGAACACCCTTAATCACATAGGTAGAGTTATTCTATGGATTATGTAAAAAATTCTTTTATAGTAGATAATATTATCTCTTCATCATAATCATTCAATAGTTTTAATTAAAAAAATAAACTCACCCCAAACTGGATATATTTATAATTTATTGAGTTAGACACTGGTATTTATAATTTATGCGAAAGTATATGTTTAATCCTTTAACTTTATGTAAGGCTTCAGTTTGGTTTCTTAACTTTAAAAAGTATACTTTTAGTCCTTTAACTCTAAAATTATTAGTTTTAAATGATGATTTTTTTGTAATAATTATGTTGTTTTGAATATTAAACTTAATATGTTAGTATTTAGTAATGTTTATCAGTATTCAAAAGCTTAATATCATTATTTTTTATTAACAGTTTTAGGGTTCCAAGACTAAAAGTTTTATTTTTTTAAAGTTAAGAAAACAAAATGAATCTTGTGTAAAGTTAAATGACTAAAAATATACTTTAGCTTATAATTTATTATAAATTTTGAATATTGTAAGTTCCCTATTAAATCTTTTTTGTAAATTTTTGCCACCGATAGATATGTGGATGTATAATGTATTGAAATTGCGGATCGTAGATAAATATATACAATAACGATAAAAAGGTGACGGCCAAATAATAATAATAATTTTTCCGATTCTAAAAAGTGTCACTAGAATAACCAATAAGAAGCGAGTAATCCTAAATCACGATCCGCGTCTGATCTCTTTAATGAAATCGCAGCCGTTAATTTAGCCCCAGAAAACACAGAAGAGCACTGTAGTTACCGTCGGATTCTTGATAAATAAAACACACGGATAATGATTTTTATCCGTCCGATCATTCTATTGCCCTTGTTAACACGCTATTAATACCCTGCAGCTAGGCGGCCGTTGGAAACTTTTGATTTTTCTCATACCGACTCAGCAAAGAAGGAGGAGAGAGAGAGGGTAAGCGCGCTCGAGGTAAGATTTCTTTTGGGATTAAGGAAATTAGGGTTTAGAATTAGCGTTTGTATTAGTTATAATCTTAAGTTCCTTTTTGTTGAAATTGAATCTTTAATAATCTGGTTTCGGAATTACTGTGAAGAAGTCGGCGTACGTGTTTCGAGGAGGTTCTATGAATTTCTTCTCCAATCTCTTCTCATGTCATCTTCTTCGTAGATGTTCCTAGAAATTTTGTGGTTTGCTTGCTTTGTTGGTCTGGTCGTTGACTCAGTTATGAGATCCGTCTAATTAACCTGTGTTCGGTAATTGGGCGCGCGAGTTTGTGTTTGATTTAGACTTACGATTGGTCGGGTCCATGCCTTGTGGTTATCGTTTCGCTTCTCATTCGTCCCTTCTTCTCTTCTATTAGTGCTTCAGTCGTATGATTGCTCCATCATTTGTTCTTTGGGGTTAGGCTTCAAGCATTAATTTTCGGGTTTCTTTGCTGTGTTGATTGCTTCATTTTGGTTGAATGGAATATCATCTCTTTATTCTAATGGCTTGTTGTTCATTGTTATTAGCGTAACAATTCGATGATTTCATTGCTCTAATTTATATAGATGGCCCGTACGAAGCAAACTGCTCGCAAGTCAACCGGTGGAAAAGCGCCCCGGAAGCAACTTGCTACCAAAGCTGCCCGTAAGTCGGCACCGACCACTGGTGGTGTGAAGAAGCCTCACCGTTATCGCCCTGGAACAGTTGCTCTTCGGTGAGTTGTTCGTGGATACATGTGTTTCGTCATGCGAGAGCACGCGCACACATGATGAGTGAAGCTGTTTGTTGTACTAGGTTTGTTGTATGTGTCTGAATTGTTTTTTTTGTGATGACAGTGAGATTAGGAAGTACCAGAAAAGTACTGAGCTTTTGATCAGGAAACTCCCTTTCCAGAGGCTTGTTCGTGAAATTGCTCAAGACTTCAAGGTATCGTGAATATTTCTCTCGTTGGCATTCCTAAGATGTTATCTCTTCTTGGAAGGTATTGACAGTTCCGCGTTCTGCGATGGCAGACTGACCTCCGTTTCCAGAGCCATGCGGTGCTTGCATTGCAAGAAGCAGCTGAGGCTTACCTAGTTGGGCTTTTTGAGGACACTAACCTTTGTGCCATCCATGCCAAACGTGTCACAATTATGCCTAAGGA